GGGTCTGGATTGACCCCCCGCTATAATGTCAGACCCTAGAGCAGATTGCGCTGGGGCGCAGGGTCTGAAGTCCCCAAGCTAGCTGAGGGGATCTCCTACCTGGCTGTGCCCTTGAGGCTAGCTGTTTGGACTTTGTTGTGCGCACGGCCTCTTAACCTAAATGCTGGCACTTTCATGACAAGGGGGGCGTTGATGCACCTCTCCGCAGCAAAAAAACATGTCTTCTCCTTACGAACTGGAATTACAATGGAGTTCAGACACCCCAACTTGGAAACCAAAATCCCTCTTGTTTCAGGGAAAATACGAACTTGTCTTCAAGGGCCCTCACAAAGAAAGCTCAAATTTGAACACCCCACATACAGCGGAGTCCTTGGTATGCACGTCGCAGCTGAGGTAGTAGAGGTAGACCCCGGGCTCCTGTTGGATTTGCATTCTAGGTTATTTCGGGTTTAGGGATGCGCTGGTCCCAAGATACGAGCCCTCTGGTACTTCTGAAGAATCCCCTCCCCTGTGAACTCCCCACCCCGCGAATAATGAAGATCCCCCCTGAATGTAATGCTACTGCACTCAGGGTATCTATTGAGGGACGGGACTTCTAGGCTACCGCTGTAGGGCTTGTAAGGCCACTGATTTCTGGTTTGTTCTGAGATGAGAAGGCGCAAGACTTTTGCTGCCCAAAATATTTGCAATGCACATTCGACATGCATGCTGCGTAGCTCCGTAGCTCATTCAAAACAAGATGGGCGCATGCTAGCATTCCAAGGAAGGCGAAACAAGGAAGCTTGCGGAGTTTCTATATTGGGGGTCTAACTTGGGGTTATATCCGCATCCCGATACATCATTGGAAGTTGTAGCGGAAAGGAGTTTATGGCGAACCACTGAAGATCGACGCCTTTTGAGCGCTGACAACTTGTTGACATAGAATAACTTGAGGTTGGGATGGTCAAGAGCTGAAAGGTTCACTTGAGGTCCCTGATGTAGACCCGCGAATAAGGGTTATAAAAGGATCCTAGTAGTAAGCCCCTCAAAAGGATGAGGTTTCTTATAATCAGGGGTCGACAGTACCATACAAACCGCTGCTCCGTAGTCTTTTGGGGGGAACCGCTCCAACATTGTGAATCAAGGCTGTGTAGGTTAGGTTACATGGTGGCGTCTGGAGCGCAAATTTAAGTTAATGTCTTGACGAAGTGTTCATTATAGGTCCCGGGTACCAAAAACACAGCTTTGTGCTATAGTCGATATTGTACTTGATGAAAAGGGTTCCGAGGGAATACGTTCCCCAACGCAAGCCCCCCCATTGCACACAATTGCCAAGAACCGCTTTTTGTGAAGGGGTGGTATACATCTCGCAAACCGGAATTCAGGGCAGTCTCGGTTTACGAGTACCTCCTTAAGCGTGAAGTGGACATGTAATTTACTTTCTCCTGGTCTTTGCCTACTTACAGCTCCAATTCGGGCTGTCTTCAGAAGAGTGAGATTTAGGCCAACTGCATCTTAAGTCCAGGGGAGTTCATCCTACAGGAGAGTAGATGCGGTAGGGGGGCCCAGTGTACACCCCAAAATACTATAATCCTTTCCGGGACATGGCGAGTTGTCCAGACGCGACTCATGGTGTGCCGTCTTCTCGGGCGTCAGCTTGTAAGCACATAGCTGCAGTGAGATTACATGATTTCAGTGCAGAAAGCTGGTTCGCATCAAGAACCCTGCGGCCCTGCGAAATTGTGCAAGGCTTTTCTTCTCCCCCCCCCCGCATGGCAGCCTCAATGCTGCTTGCTGAAGGGAAGGCCGACGCGCCAGTCAGGATCAAAGAGCTCCTGCCCAGATTTCCTGGCCACAGTAGCACAAGAGCTGTGATCCATTGTAACATCCGCTTCGTCGTAATAGCTACAGCCGCTGCTGCAGAAGCTATCTGTCAACTCCTCCTTTGTGCATAAACCATCTCTGCCCTGGGCCTGGTAAAGGGCAATTCGGAAGTCCAACGAAACACGGGTCATCTCAGTCGTGTTCTCTAAGGTGAAGTGGATGCACCGGGCCCCATCAAAAATGAAGCCCTGACCAGGACCCTCTGCAGTGAGGGGATGCCAATCCTCGCGCCCAGGGCATGACTCCACAAACAAAGCATTCGCTCCAAGGATGGGTGTCAAAGGGATGTGGAAATTGATGTTGCCAATGCTGTGGCCATAGGCAGTGTCGCAGTGGGGACCGATGGAGAACTCGCCGGGCCGAACGACGCGAATGCAAGGAAAGGCCTGGTAGCGGTAGGTTACATCAGAGGTACAGAGGACGCCCTTTGCCAGGCCCTGTGCATGAAGCATGGGAATGCAAAAAGATGTTACAAATTTGTCGTAGATCTCATGGAAGCGTCGTCTCTGGCACCTATCCAGTAGCGGTCGGAGCAAATCCTGTTTGTCTCCTACATGGTGTTCGTGCAAATCTGCAAGTCCACTGAGCCCCAGAGCTTCCGCAAGAGCAGCATGCAGTGGATAGAGTCCAACGTCATAAAGAAAATCGCGCTCGTCACGCAGCGCCGTGTAGGGCACAGGCAGGCTGCAATTCTTGGAGTCTACTCCATAGCCGGCCTCCTCCCTTTTGCGCCTTGCTTTTGAGAGATGGGGCTCCTTGGTTGCCTCTTAGGAAGACAAATGCTTGGGTTTAGGGTTTACGGTACCCAGGTTTGCCAAAGGCTTTTGGATGCTTTATCTAGGAATTTCTAAAAATGGGAGGACCCTCCATATAACATAGAAAAATGTACTCCGTAGTACAGGTAGCCCCTAGGTTTCTTGCAAAAAAACCACCAGACCTCTAACCATCGAGGCTCCAAGTGGCCTATGCAGAGACTTTTTACCGACGTTCAGTGCTCAGGGTACATATCATTTATCGAGGTAAAGCCCTAGTGGTACTTGCTAATTCTTAGCAGGGAATTAAAGAATATGATCCCTACAGAATCCCTGGATTGTATATCACATATTCCCACATTCCCTACTAAGAACCAGTCAGCAAAAACTGGCCTAGGTACCATGACAGTCCGCAGGTCATCGTGGAACCTGGGAGCGGCTGGGACGTCGCCGATGACGGCGCGCACGTCGCGGCCAAACCACTTGGTTGGGGCTACATATCCCATGGGCCACGGTGCGCCAAAAAGGCATTCTATGGTTTGAGATCTATGCGTTTAATGGGCTTGCTGCCAACACTTGATGACTTGAAGGCAATTACAGTGCATTCTATGGTTTGAGATCTATGGGTTTAAGAGGCTCTTCTTGGTAGGACTTCACCTGGGGGTGTGCAGCCATTTGCAGGCAGAACCATGAACTTGTGGGCTCCTAATGGCTCCGATATAAGGTCCTGAGCCAGCTGCAGACTTGCAGGGACAATCCACCTCCAGTCCTTGAGCTTAACCCTGTGACCCAAGATGGTGGGTTTCCGGAAATTTGGGGGGGTACCTTTTTGGGGGGGTCCCCACAATAAGGATTATAGTATATCGGGGTCTATATTGGGGTCCCCTTGTTTTGGAACGCTACCAAGTGGCAAACCCCGCGCCAAACCCCTAACGCGCGTGGCTCCTCCATCACGATAGCTGGACCATTGAACCGTCTCTGGCTCCTGTACAACAGCAAGCAACACATAGCTTCCAAGACATGAGCGCACCTAAAACAGGATGTTTGCTACTGTTGGGTACCCAAATGGGATTCCTGAAGTTCCGAAAACCTGAAGTGCATGAGCACACTCATCATGAAGTATAGCAGTATACCATGCCGAGTACACACCAAGTGCCCCTCCATGAAGAACTATGCTGAGGTTTGCATGACAAAGCTCACCATTCATCAGAGTGCACAGGATGAAGCCTAACGCCCCCCCCTCTCTCATATGTTCGTGCATGCAGCGCACCTAGACAGGATGTCAAAAACTCAAAGCGTGTGAGGAAAGCACGCGAAGCAACCGGATTCTTGCGGCTGCGCCACTCCAAGACCATGAGCAGCCGGGCACTCTGCCCGAAGTGCTTCCGCAGTTCCACCATGAGCTCCGGTATCTGTAGCACTTCCTGAAGCTCTGAGGCTTAAATTGGGGGCTTGGGGTGACTGCTGCCAGCAATATAACATGTGGGAGGCTATTGTTTTGTTGTAGTTTGAAATATGAATGGAGGCCTTGCAGGGCTGGGCTGTATCTGAGATACGGGGTTTGCAGGAAGTGGCCAATGCAACTTTGCCTATGGTGTAAGGCTTGAACCTCCACATCAACTGTTGGCCAACAAAACCACAAGTTACACTTCAGTGCTTCAAGCTTGATGACATGCACTTCACACGTAGTTCATGAGGAACCTTCGCGACAGCTACTCTAAACATTACCCCTGAGGCTCCTAGGACTGAAAGGGGCTTTCTGGGGGAAGGTTTGGGCTTTGGGGGTTGAGGTTCTGGGATCTCCCTAGACCCTCAACCCTAAAGCAGCAAACCATTATCCCCATATAACCCCAATATAACCCTAATGCAAAACCCGCTATAGTCGTTTCCATCTTATCTTCCATTATCCCCATATAACCCCAACCAATATGAGCCGTAGACCAGCCGCCTCGTTTGAGACGATGGAGCGCACAAAAAGCACTGGCCTGACCTTGCAGCAGCTGCCAGGGTTCGCACTTTCGTGTTTGGGTGTACGGTAGGGCTTGCATTGTATGCTACGACCTTAGACCAACACAGGAAGTCCGTGGGAGGCGCAGGCTTTGGATTGTATACTGTAACACATCCTCTGGCCAAAGAGGCTATCCTTTCATGCTAGAGGAAAAGCAGTACTTGAAGAAACTCATCAAAGAATGTGGCAGGACGAGGCAGAAGGGTTGCGAGTTCACAGGGCCTTAATGCTAGTACCGGCCAAACTGCCATTGGTTCTGTTCTCATGAGCATTCGCTTCTACTGCTGTCCCCTAAACCCTGTACCCAGTCATCTGTCTTCACAGCGCTGCTCGTGATGCTACGCGCCACTACCTCGACGTGGTTGGGAGATCTTAAAACTGCGTGAACCCCTGTCACACAGGATCTGCGCAAGATCTCCATCTTTCCGGTTAACTGCTCTCCAAGTTTAGGAAGAATGCGTACCCACCCTACCCGTCATCTGCCCTCATGCCTCCGAGTTGATGTCGAAGAGGCGGGCAATGCGCCGGTTGTATCGCTCATGCCTCAGCAGCTTGCCCTTGTCAGGGTCTAACAGAAAGGGGTCAATTTGGCATCTGGGAGTTTAGCATGACTCAGGAATCCATCTTTCTGCAACATTGACATCAACCAAGATGTGGACCCGGGGCTTGCACCAAAATGGTGGCAGTTCATCCTAACCCCTGGATAATAGGGCTCAGGGTTTAGAATCTTAGGTTTCAGGGTTTAGGGACATATGATGAGCTACAGCCAACATTTTTCCAGAAGATTAATGCACATTGGTTCCTTATGAGGGAATATCGTCCCGAAGTATGGAAGATGTGGAAAACTCTTCGAGACTCAAGGGCAACGCCCAAACATGTCAATGCGATAAGCCGCCCATCAACTCCCACAACGTGTTACAAGTATCATTGGAACCTTCTATGAACTAGCCTCCTTCTTATCCTAACCCTAAACGCTAAACAGAATCACCCACCCAGCACTGGCAGAGTAGAGCCATCACGTGAAGGCACATCTTTGGCTCCGTCGGATCATCATGCCAGAAGGAGTGGTGGTAGCCGCGAAACATGACCTTGTCATCTATATTCCGCCTTCTAAAAATGGTATTACATAGGGAGTATGAGTATGAATGTGTGGATATTCTCACGGTACTATATTAGGACTACTTGGTATTATGTTCACCTATATCTGGAAAAAGGCTCGCCCTAGCCTGTGTCAGCTGACCCCCAGGCAAAAACAAATGCCCCTACTCAGCCAGCTCAATGTCTGATCACGTCTAATAAGAGCTACCATATGTGATTTTCATCATCATCATCATCATCATCATTATCATCATCACCCCCTTCCAATCTCACAGAGCGAAACGTGGTTCCATTGCTTTCGGGAAGGGATGGAATCAACCCTGTAACACGGATTTTCAGGTTCCTCGAATAAAGAGGAATTTTATGAGATTTTCCACTAGAAAAGAAAATGGAAACTGCCGCGGAATTTAAAGTGTAAGTCGCCCAATTGCTTACCATCGGCTATGAATATATGCGACACATTTCCTTACATCAGCTAAATATCATATCCACACATCTGTACATATTCCCATTAATCCTTCTCTACTTCTATACGCATTGGTGCCAAATCCAAATATCTTCCACATGCCGTTTGTGAGCCGCGCCCATCTATAGGATCCTGAACTCGAAGCCCTTTCTTTGAACAACAGCCCCCAGGCCAACCTACACCCCCTCAGCAACTCAAGGATTTCCCAACTAGCTTCTATACTACCCAACTTTATTTAAGGTTAATTAGGAATTATTCGGCCTAATTGAAATTCGTTAAGGGCGCAATAAACTCTAAAAGTTTAAACCTATAAACCCCAGACCCAAGGCCTTAAACCCTGACAGCCCAGTGACCATCATGCTGCCTGTTTCTGGCACCCTCTGTTGGGTGGTGAAGTCGTAGAAGCCTTCGAAGTTGCTTCCTTCACTGCTCCAGGGCTTAAAAACCTAGGGCTTAAGCTTCCTCAGACTACCGCTGAGTTCGGAATGACATGCAAGTGTACTGGGCACCTAGACCTTTGAGGAACTTGTGGAGATGCTAGGGATCAGAAACCTATCCTAAAAACATACCAGGCCCCAAAAGGAACTGCGTTGGAAGGTCCGGGTTGGCTTGAGGTATGCTCATGTGAGCTGTAGTCTAGACTCCTGGTCTCCCCTTTAATAAGTCCTATACTACTCCCCTATAAAACCCCTTATGTAACCCCCTTTACGGAGTTTAGATCATGGCTCATGTGGCTTCTGTTGGTTGTGTTGGCCAAGAGTAGGACCTGGGTTGTGGGATCGAGGGAAAAGGAAGCTGACGGCTGCAACTATGGCCGCAGTCAGTATGTGGAGCTGCGGGCCTCGGGAACCTTGCTAGAGCCCTAGAGGTCCTGGCTACAATGAGTCAGTTCGTAGGGGTCACAACACTTCCCGTCAACACACGTTCAAACGATTGTGCCATGTGGCCAACTTGCAATTGGTTTTTGGAATCACATGATGGACTCTCATAACCTCTGTCTTCATTGAGTAACCGTTACCCCTTCGGCTTCAGCTGGTTGCTATGTAGAAGTCCCAAACCCTGAAGCCCTCGGAACCCGATCCCAGCCCGACATTCGAAGCTTCAAACTTTCATCCCAAGCCCGAAGGACCAAATGTTTGCCGTGACAGGACAAGTTTCGCAAAAATCGAAGAATTCCACTCATCCTCGTGCGGATCCAGTCCTTGCGAGGCTGGCATCAGCAAGAGTACACATGACAGCAGTAGCAGTATGTGGGCAGGAGCGGCTGCAGTGCCAATTCGCATCTTAAAGCAGCCGTCTGCGATGCAGTGAGTTGCGAAGATATGTATAATTATGCCGGACGGATAAGCACTGGTCTTGTTTTGGGTGGCTCGCAGCCTCACGATGACCATGTACGTTGCAAACTCTCAGTCCGTTTCTTCGCACCTGAAACCTCTCCAAACCATTCAACTGAGACACAAAATGTCAGTCCCTGCAAACTTGCGATGTCATAGATGCAAGCCAAGAAGGCAAGCAAGTGAGCAAGCTACAACCCAACGTGATGTCCCTGCAACTCTAATTTGTCACCCTAGAGATCTGTAAAGACGGGCAAACCTCATGGCCAGCGAGGTGCAAAGGGCAGCGTCTCAGCACCGCGGCCCATCTTTTGGAAGGATAGCTTCGGGCCGCAGTAGCTGCCCAGTGACACCAGCTGAACGCGGGCCTGCTTGCAGGCAGCTACAGGTGGTCTCGGAAAACAAGCTTTGGCGGCTACTCCCCGCAGCAACGCACATGCCCGAAAAAGGAAATGCTTTGCATTCATGAGTCGCAGCCATATAATTTAGCGGGATCGCCAACCAGGTCTGCTACTGCAGAATATGCTTGAAACTTGCCAACATGCAGCATTGATCGTAATGGGGTGAGGGTTCCTTGAACGAGATAGTTGAGCTTCTGGTCCTGTGGTGCAGGGTGCTGCAGGCGATTGGTTTTGTGCTTCAGTGACGAAGCCCGTCCCATTCGTTGTTCCCACACATGTGTAGAGACTGCCCATGCTGGCCTCTTAGGGACCGAGATTGAGTGATTCGTCTATGCTTGCACGGAAGACCCACAGCATGCACAACCAAACACGCTGCAGCTGTTGGGGATGGGTAGAGGAAATCAGCATCCAACAGATTGACTAGTGACTAGTGCAGTTGACCCTCCTTCCAGCTTTTAGAGTCAGTGTCATGCATGACACCTATCGGAAATTGCCTGCAGCTTTCACAAGAAATCGACGCGTGTTCCATTTCTGGTTCGTGAGGAATGAGAAATGTATCCTTGTAGCAGCCCCTATATGACTTCCAATAATCTAGTAGTTCCCATGTTCTTTCCATTCCTTCCTTCCCTGCTGACAGGCTGTACGTTCTATGACCCCCACATAGACGCCCGTCTCCATGTCATTTTCCAATATTGGGGTCTGATATCCCGATATATCCGAGCATGCTCCCACATATCCGTTACGGGATTAACAGGCCCGGGCGCAGTTTCTGGATCCGCCACAGGAGCGTCCTTGTACTTGTCCCCAAGCCTGGGCAGCAAACCTACCGAATTGCTTCTGCAAGCTTGAGCTTTTTCCTTGAAAAAGTTAAAGGGAAGAAGGGAATATGTTACATAGGGAGTTGATTCCCTTGTACCCCTGCAAACCACCAGTAGATTTTTCTCGATGACTTGAAATTGCGAATCATACGCCTTCTGCCCTCCCCTCCGCACACGGTCTGCAGCGCAAAAACTATGGACCAACGCAAGCTGCTGGACGACGTCATGAAGGGCCCCGATGTGAAGCGTAAAGCTACAACCCTACTGCTGACACCCAACTACGGAATAGACCTGAGTGGCCAACTGCGACTCCACACACTGGACAAACACAGGCGCACACACGCACACTAGATTTGTTCTTGGGCAGTGTTGCGTCAGAATGACCAGGAGATCAGCAACTTGGGAGAGTTCTAAACGTTTTTAGGAGCCCAAAAGGCTCACCAGCCCCTAACGATTTGGATCCTTAAACTCTCGATCCTCTCCAACCGCGGTCATGCATAGAATCATATTGCGAATTGAAAGCTTGTTAGGTGCATGGATCTATCTAATTTATGAATATATATATATGCACAAACACATGTATGTGCTTATGTCCTTATGGAGGGCCCTGGGGCCAGTGAAGAACCTATTACGCAGTTGATTGCCAGGATGCTTCTCCAGCATATCGCTCTCCTGCCATGATTGCTCATGGGAAGACTTGCGCTGGTAGGATACGGGACGGGTGTGCAGCGGTTAACGAGAAGTAGGTCGAAGCTGTTATCCATCACCCTCTTACCTCCTCATGATGCAAGCGTCAGGTTCAGGTCGGTGTGGGCAGTAGAAAGCATGCATGAACAAAGATCTCACTCCACAGGCTCCTTTTGGAAGAATTTCGGCTCATCCGCCCAAGAGGCCAAACCAAGCATCACCTATGGAAAACAGAATATCTGAGGTTCTGATCAACCCCCGCAAAGCAGCAACTTTTGTTTTTGGCCCAGATTTGCCCAAGCCCAGCCGAGCCCAAACATCCCAGAAAGCAACATGCGCATACTGAACTCTCAGATACCCTTTCTCCTGACTACAAAGGAGATTGCCTGTACCATCCCAAGGCAGCCATGTTGAAATTCCCCCCAGATTACAGCAGCGCATTGTTCAGACTTGAGTAACCCCCTTGTCCGCTTTCAAACTGCAACCCTTGAAATGTTGGATGTCCTGCTCACCACCAAATCGGGTTGCCATCAGCCCAGTGCCCTTGTCATCAACTCCTCAGTCCCCTCTTTCTCATGCAATGTCCAGATGGGGGGACCGATCTGATGCCATCAGGGCTTGCTTGGATGACTTTCATGTGTAGGTGTGCAAGGGGCTTCTGTGAGGGATGTGGAGGTGAGTCCAATTCGTGGGAACTTATCAGCATCTAGCGACATGTCATCAAAATGGCCACCTAGAATTCCAACCAGAGGACATCAGTGAAAAAGGCAACCCCTGATTTGCGTGGATAGCAGGATAGCACCCGGTTATGGAGCTATTGTGAAAACTGCCAACCTGCGCACATTTCAAGGCTACAGTCCTCCAGCAGAGTCTGGCTTGGGGGAAAAGATTGTACTACCTATCTTTCGCATTGTAAAGGAGAAATACTGGTAACTCAAACATATCAACGAACTCCCAAAGTAAGTCTCCACAAGCAGCGTTACGATATACACGGACTGCTGCAAGAGTTCAGCCCGTACCCCAACCCTAGCCCGTCTTGGTGGTAATTAGCGTTATGCCCAGCTTCTTCTATATACAAAAGGTACCCGCAGAAATGGTGGGTATCGGGGTCTAGTAGTCTTGAGAGAGCCCTTACTTGCGGTAACTACTATACTGCTCTCCATGCTAAATGTAAATGTCAATGATTTTCCAAGTTAGCCGGGCGACCTCACATCAAGACTGAACCCCAAAGATCCAAAACCATTGAGTTTGGGGTTAGGGTTATGGTTTAAGACTGGGTTGAGGCTTTTGGAAAACTTCATTACAATGACGATCTCCAGACTTCTGCCCGCAGTTAGGTTGTAAATGGAACCACCCCGCTCTGGACCTAACTCACTAGCACTGCCTTCCTGCGACCCTATAATAACATCATCTCATTGTCGCTTAGTAGAGACAATGAGGGATAGATCCCTCCAGTTGGCACCCATCTAATCCCCCAAAATCACCCTTATAACCGATCGGTTCCTCGATTCCGTCTGTTGTGAACCCCCGCATGCACAGTCAGGCCGGCACTTGAGCTACGGTTGATGGATGAAATCTTGCACCACTTAGGGGCCCTAAACTACTGTCATTCCTAGGACTTTAGGGACTTAAGGTGGTGCAAGATTTCCTCCATCAACAGTATGAATCTCTGTATTGCTGAGGCACCGAGATTTGCCGGCAGCGTTCTGGCGTGGTGTACCTTGAAATTTGAAGAGCTGACAGCTATAAGGTGGCCCCAGAAGGCAGGCTTCTCTCCCCCAAAACTTCCGCTGATTTCCACTCATGGATCCTAGCTAGAAATCTGACTAGAGTCCAGGACTTAGGGAGGGCCCGAAACGGCCTGTGGCAACACACTTTTCAGAAAACGAAAGACGGCACGAAACAAGAGCATGACAAAATTATATAAGAAACAAGGAACGTGCAAACACAGCTTGCGCCATCTCAGATTCCAACTGTCCGTGTTCGCCATACCAAGTAGCGGAAAGTGCACAGCGCCCTACCATCACCACCCTTGTCAGAAGAGGCCAGTAGGGCCAGTAATCCCTTCCTCAAGCAGGCACTCCTGCAATGCCCTCAAGTCGGAGATCTACATGCCACGCAAGCAACAGGCAACCAAGAGGCAGGTGTTCCTTCCGGTGACCGACGCGTAGGGCTACTGACCTCTCGCTGAACCACCCACATACCTTCTGCAGCCATGCGATGAAAGGAAGATGGAGGGAAAAGGTAGGTGGGGAGTGGGGAGCTACGAGCTTCCATGTCCCTGTGTTGACGGTCATAGTAAACTATGTCTATCACAAAGACAAGGATCCGGAACCGGAAGTGACAAATAGATAGACCCAGGCAAATAGAGACGTAGCTTGCCAACACAAAGCATCATCAGTAAAGCTGCTGGCCATGTTGCAGGAAAGTTCTGACATCCACAGTGGGATTAAGCAAGGCATGTCAAAAAAGGGACCCGGAGCCAAAGCACCAAGTCCTCAAACCCACGCAGCATTCACTGTCATGATGAAATCTATAGTGCCCCTTAAGTGGATAGAATATAGGGTATATGGGGTCTTATTGTAATATACCCTAGCCATATTCTATCTACTTAAGGGGGACTATAATCTGAAGGCCTCAAAGGTGCCAACCTGCAGGATGCCAAATGTGCCACAAATATGTGGTGGGGTGCCTGAAACATGCGACATATGTTTTAGTAGTCTATTCTCATAGCACTCTTGAAATCTATACACAAGGCTATGCTGCAAAACAAGCCACATAGCAGGCCCTTCTGAAATATGCACTGCGTAGGGTCCCCTATTCTGATGGAAACTTCCACATGTGCTATAATTAGTCTAAACTCCTAGTATCCCTCTCAATAAACCCTGTAATATTCCCGTAGATAATCCCCTACAAAACCCCTTCAAAGAGTTTAGACCATAGCTCACATGAATCTGTACCGTACTTGCGAACTTCTCGAAAGCGGATCTCCTAGTCCATATCTCAGTGAATGTCATAGGGGCCTTTGACGAAAGCTCCTGTGTTAGTATCCATAGATAGGGGTTCCCACTATAGATCCCAGAATACCATAATCCTGTTTGTTGGAACCCCCAATAAAGGCCCCTAATTTGTGGAAACTCGCATGTGGCTGAGCGGGTGATTTGAGGGGGGTTCGGATTGTGGTTCGGGGATTGTGGTTCGGAAGCGCTTTGCGGAGCGTTTCCGCCCTTCGGTATCCATTCCTGACTCGTTGGCTTTGAAAGTCCGAAGCTTCTGCGCTGAAATGCATGCTTAAAATTGGCTTTAAACCGGTGTCCCCGTATTGTTGCGAACCCAACCCCTATAAACCCGTTGTCCACGTCATTTCCATTTGTTTCTGATTAGACTCTGAATTTGTAAGGTAACCTCCCAATGTACTCCCCAATTTTTGGAAAACCTACACTCTATATATCCCTACATACAGTCCCCCCTAAAGTAGATAGAATGAGGCTTTGTATGTAAAACCATGATAACAATAGGATCTCCATATACCCCATATTCTATCTTCTTAAGGGGGACTATACCCCTAAATCCTCCAAGGTGCTCTGGGCATGGACTTCAGACCGATTATGGGCTGGAGACCTGGCGTTAACTGGTGTACCTGGGGGCCCGAAGGGAATGGAGACGGCACGCGCCACGGCAGCCAAGTTGACCTGAGGTTCCAGGGACCTACCGTTGCTAAATCTTTTGCCAGCTTGGTTGTGGTCTTGCCAGTGAGGTACATGGGAGTTACCAGGTGCATTCAGAATCTGGTACTCTGTGCATGGAACTACGTCCGCTGCCTTGGAAACAGGTAGGTCATGCGCACCACGCACTGGGCTGCGGGTCATATATTCATTATCTATGCAAAATACTAAAAACTATCTGCGCGCAACTTTAGACACACAAAAACAAACATCATTACATACAGGTTTGCATCTATGTATATATATACATATGTAAGTACATCAAGTATGTGTATACACACCTATATATACATATATATGTATATATATATATATATTCTTTTATGTGTTTACATATAATTGCCTTAAACCATAAGCCCTGAGACCTTTGCAACCTAAACCCTAATCCCTAAGTCCCAAGCCCTAAACCGGATGCCCTAAGCCAAGGCGCAGGTGTGGAACTTCGCGAGACTTCGCTGCTGATCTCTCGCTGAATGGGCTGCACGCCTCTGTTGCATCCATCACCCTTCTGTTCACGGGAGGTACACAAAAAAGGGGACACATAGGGGTTGTGTAGGAAATAAGGTTTTAGGGTTTATGCAAGAAAGGGGGCTATAGGGGATATATGGGGGCTATGTGGGGAATAGGGTTTAACTAGGAATCAGGGCTTAGGGTTTCCCAAGATAAGGTCACCATTTGAATTGCTCTTGGGCAGGCACACAGGGACGGGCTACGTAGGGCATACGTTTAGCCTAGCGACCTAGCGAGGTGTGTGTGTGTGTGGGTCTGAGAAACTGATGTAGAAGGTTTGTAAATAGGAATGTGTAAGGACTATATCAGTATATACGGGAAGCACGGTGCACACGCAAGCCCAAGAACCCGATTCCATCAATCGAAGCCCCTGTACAACTTGTGCCTGATGGAGGAACCTGGGGTAAAATGAACCAACCAAGTGAGAAGCACGTGGCCAATAGGATGCCAAAGGAGAACCTCTGAGACCGACGGATAAGAAGTTTCGTGAGGCGCCCCCCTGCAACAATAACTCCTGAACCCCCCAAACCCCAAACCTCAAGCTTAAAACACCAGAAACCCCAAACCCTAAACCCCTTCAACCCTGAGCCCCCAAACCCCTTTCACGCCCCGCCTGGTCCAGCAAGAGCTTCCTTAGGCAGAGATGTGGGCTCGCGCTCGGGGCTCGGCGTTTGCGGTAAAGCGCAGAAATTGCTGGCGTGGATCTGGGCTGCGAGAAAATTGGCACTCCTACCTAGACCTCCCAGGCACCCATAATAATAGCTTTCATACCCATGCTTTCCCGGTGGATATTTTTGGAAGCGGGAATAGTAGGAATGGGAAAAAACCATTCCTTCATTGCCTACTACGTAGCAGCGGTAAGAATTATCCACAGAGCCTTGTGCGGGAGACTTTCTTCTCTTAGTAGCCATGGCAGGTGCAAGGCCCTCTCCCTGCCATGTTCGTTGCTCCAAGCTCTTCCACAAGGAGGAGCTTTTAGGATGGGAGCTTAAAAGCCTCACAGCTTCCCTATAACTTCCAGAGACCTGTCAAGCTGCAGCGCTCGCCACATTGAAGACCCAACCCCAGCCCAAATTCTAATCATCAAACCTTGGGAGACCAACAGCTAAGAGGCCGCACAACCTTGTTTGCCACTCCCGCCTTCACACTCTGTACTGTAGGTGGCTGTGGTCTCGTTCACTGTGCCATGAAGCTACAAAGTAAGTGTTCTGCCATGTTGGAAATCTCGGCAAACTCATGGGTTCTCCTAAGGGACCATACCATCACGAGATTTTGCACCCCGTGTCGCGCCAGCTGTGCGCCACGGACCCCAAGATACTCCAAGCTTCTTCTGGTCCAAGCTACCTGTGGTGGGCTATCGTCGTGTCCTCGGTGTCACTCTGGGCCATGGGCAGGATACTGCGAAAAACTCTTCTCTGACTGCAAGATCCATTTAGACAGTCCCGAAGCACCACGGTAAGTAAACGTTTGCCTCAACGTTTGCATATAAGCTAGATCCAACAAACTTGCCCTGCAGGGCGGTAGAATCGAGCTCCATGCAAAAGATAGCTACAATATGGTAGTACTAGTGATATTCCTCGGTACAGCTACGCTGCTCCTGTTGACACAACGATATGGTGCCATTATTGCATGAAGATTTGCCCAGGAACTCTGCACGCCGATGGGAAGACAAGGCGAAGGAGCTCTTTGCTGCAATGGCTGCGAGGGGGCGCGGTGTGCCTGAGATCTGAGCTCGGGGGAATTCACATTTCACAGCATCTGTGCAGAAGGTTTCGAGTTCTGCCTAGGAAGACCCGAGGAGAAGCCAGCCATTCAAGTGCGAACAAACAATAAACTCTCGAAAAACTAGCCGCCAATCGCTGCATGAAATACCCAAGGGCTGAGCTGCTGGGCTTACTTTTGCTGGTCACCTAATGTGGGGCTCAGGAGATGAAATCACTGTAAAAAATGTGCATGCAACCTGGTGCTTCAGGGGTAGGGTGTGAGCCTCACTTGCGGGTTCACCGGTACGTAGATATTTGGCTACAGGTGGAGCTCGAAGTCCCTCAACCTTGGCTATGACTGCAATAAAGTGTCCTACTTGGAAGGCCCACAATGGGTTTTTATTGCTGGAAATTAACCTTCCCCAACTACACCCCAAGCCAAATCCTGTATGCCCTAAACCGCCACGAAGGTAACGAAGACAAGGCACTGGCAAAGGCGTCCCTTCGCTGGGCTGCTGCGGTGGGCACGGGGCAACCTCCGGCCTTCGCAGTTGTAGAGTTGTGGAGACTTTCCGATGGAGAGAGAGAGAGAGAGAGAGAGAGAGAGGGGGGGAGAGAGAGGGAGAGAGGGGGAGTGCGAGAGTCTGCGAGAGAGAGTGAGATCGTACAATGAGAGGGAGGGAGAGTTGGAGAGAGAGAGAGAGAGAGAGAGGGAGAGTTGGAGAAAGAGGGGGAGGGAGAGGGAGAGAGAGAGCGAGGGGGGAGAGAGCTGTGTGTGTATGTATGTGCGTATATGCCTATGCATGTACATATGGGTGAGCTCACATATGCCAGGATGTTGTTGGAGTTTCATGTGCGCAGTTCAGGGTCAAAATTTGTTTAAAACATTGATCCTTGATGAGCACACAGGAAATATGTGTCAAGACCAGCTCTTGAAGTCCAATCTAAGCCAAGATTAGCCTCGGGTTGCTCGTTACTGGGCCCAGAACAAATACAAATGTCCTGACCCATCATTTTCTAACTTGGGTGCTTGCGTCAAACAAAATGGTGTTCAAGAGAGCACGCGAGACAAGTTCTTCTCACCTCTGCGCCAACCGTATTGGATATCAAGTTCTTGAGACTTATGTTTTGGACTTAGGACTTAGGGTTTTGGGGTTTAGGGTTGCTTATTTGTTGGTACGCCCTCACTTACCACCCACGAGTATGGTCTATAATGGAAGTGGGAGTTAGAAGCGACTGTACTAAGCTCAAGTATACCTGGTCATATCATCTGGGTTTACCTAAGTCAAATTGTGTTGAAATCCTGTTACTTGCCATATACCAGTATTACGGCAGCTAACTTAAAACCCCTGAGCAACAACCCTTTTAAGCTCCAGATTCTGAATCCTCCCTCGGAATTCTCAGAATAATCGCTCCTTTCAAGCAAGTTCGGTCATTTCCGCGGGTAGTGGTCAAGGCTCCTCAACAGAAGCCATTCATACGTCCCTTCCTACTACCACACCGCCACCGCGACCGCGACTATGATTCGTGACACATACACTAACACATTGGTGGCAAATTGTTCTGATACGAAATTGCCACAAGCGAATCATCACCATGCTGGTGTGACCAGAGCTGCACACAAATTCGCATACGCTTCGACAAGTTTGTGAAGTCCACGGCTCATTCTTTGCATGGCGTTGTAAGAGGGGATTCTGTACCGGGACAAGTCTCTTCTTCTCCCTCGTTTGAAGCTGTTTGCCGCAGGCGACCCTGAAGAAGAGACCCACAATTTTGAGACATCCTTCATCCCAGCTGCTCCAAGGGATCGAACCGCAGCGACTTGCTGGCAGCGACGCGTTGCTGGCCTGCGCGAGGGAGCTCTTAAGCTGCAAAACTCTAAGCCCCAAACCCAAAACTTCAGGGAGCATGGGCTGTAGTATCTGAACCCATTTAGCAGGTATGATGAGGCCTGTAGAGCTCCATGTTACCGGCTCAACTGGGTTGCTATTCAACAACGAGACCAAGATGACTTAGCGACTTGGAGTTTGAAGGAAGGCTCAGGTTAAGAGATTGGCTGCACAGGGCCCACTTGCGCTGCCTCGTTATAGCATATTATAGAAAACTATAACATATCATAAGATACGATAATAGACTTCGATATACGACAATATATCTTATGACTTACTATAAAAGAACATGACATATTATCTAGTCAAACGCGCCAGCTCCATGGGCACTTCAGTAAGGTCCCACCGCAGGCAGCACCGGCAACTTTGAGACCGCTGCCGAACTGAGAAAGTCTAAAAGCCTCCAGCATCTAGAGAATCCACAAAGAGCTCCCATGGGTGTTAAGGGTTTCGGGGCATCATCTCATGCACGACAGTGGTACCTGGCTACACTGATGCCTGCTTTGCCTGAGTGACCATGACGCCTGAACTTCATACCGCAAGGCCCTGGAGGTGTGAACCCCCTAGCCCGACCTTATCCTGCACAACAAGTATGCAATAAAATTTGCAACCCTAAACCCTAAACTCTATAAATCCCCTAAACAGAATTTTGTGGTGAGAATGCTAGGTCAGGCTCGGGAAGGTTGATGTTTTCTAGCAGCCTGACCCTGAGGGACCTCCCAAACCCAATCCTTCACTGGCCTCTGCTGGCCACCAGCACGTCTGCAGGAACCGTCCTGTTGGAGAGGATTATCTTCAAGTCTGGGACAGCTTGGGATCAGTTGGTTCAAATGCAGTTCAGGAATTCCAGAGTCCGCGGTTTCAAGATTTCAGGATCTGGCAATTTTCTGCTGTGGGGGTCACCATCTCAGTCGTGATGCGAGGTAAACGCAAACGCGCTCAAATCAGACTAGGCCACGTCTTCGGAGCCGTCAGGACATGATCTGACATGGCCTGATCATGCCCCAAAAGCCTGGATGCTGAAAGCTGAATTCTAGCCGCACCCTTGTGATTAATGTCATGACCTCGAAACCCTGGCGTAGTTCCTATTAAAAACCCGACACTTGATTGAATCAATGCTTTGCCCTTCCCTCCGGACATGATCCTCCATGTTCCTCAGAACATATTTGCCCGCCGTGTTTGTAATGGTTCTATTGGGGACGGGTGTTTAGGGGAAGGGAGTATGCCCCTGCAGTCCGTGAGAGCGGCGCAGAAACGCAGCCATGTGGGTGTCCGCTGGTCATCTTGGCAAGTCGGTACATTCTCATTCAGGTTTGCAGACTCTTGATTTTGAACACATAAACATGGGGAGACAAAAAGAGTATAGAGGCGACACAGCAAAAGCATGTTGAAAACTAGGGCACGCTGCGCAGTTTAGGGCTTGCAGCTAAAGATTTGTTTTATGTCTTTCATGGTTTATGAGCCCTTCCGCTGCGCGCAGGAGGACCTTCCTCGTATGGCTTCACTCACCAATACCCACCTGAAAGAAAGCTGAAGCAACCAAATCCAAACAACATCCTGCAAACAGCATGCTCCCAAACAGTGCCTGTTTGTTGTGGGTTGCTCAAATTAATGAGCTAGCAAAACCTGCCGAAGGCAACATACACACCGCTGCGCACATGAAAGATGGAGTTTATGGGAACATGAGAAGAAGCCATGATTGTGAGGGATCCAAAAATTGCAGGCGGAATCGCCGAAAGCCATCAGGCCGCAGTGCTGGGCGCGCTGTTCCCTGGAAAGCTGCATTTGCTACAGTAGGAGCTCCTCTAATCACCCCTGTGACCAAACAGTCTCCAAGAAATCTTGACGGAGAGATCCGTCTACAGCGCCTACGTGTTCCCAAGCCACAAACCAGCAATTGCTTATCAGTACTGAGGCCCATGCTCTGGATCTGTCTTCTGCGCCTGTCAATCGACTGGCAGAAAGCGTGCTGACATGCTAGGGCTGCTAGGGATTGTTGCATGGGCGGGGATACCCAAGATGGGGCACGCTACAGACGTGTAAGCGTGACAAGTGGTCAAGAATATTTGCAATCAACCCAGCATTCCTAGAGGGCTCAGAATCCTAGCCCCAAGCCCCAGATCCAGCTCCTGAAAGCGCTCTTCACTTAATCCTAATTGGTTTAAGGTGCAACATGAGGCTCATGAAGCTCGGATCTTTTCAAAGCATTGACAACAAGACAGCTCACAGGAAAACATGCGGCCAAATAACACCAAGCAGTCGCCGCCGATGCTCTCAATCTGAGCCTCGCAGCCGTTTCCATTCAGTATAGCCTGCCCTCCTGATCATGCGAGTCCTTTTCAGCACCTGCTTGCAGCAGCAAGTGAACAATCTCCGTGTGCCCGTTGCAAGCTGCCTCCATAAGAGCTGTCTTGCCAGACTGATCCCGCATATCCTTATCAGCACCAGCTTGAAGAAGCAACTGAACAATCTTCGTATGGCCCAGGGTAGCTGCCCCCTGGAGGGCTGTCTTGCCAATTCGATCCTGCAAGTCCTTTTCAGCACCTGCTTGCAGCAGCAACTCAAGTCCTTTTCGGCACGTGCTTGCAACAGCAACTGCGCAAGCTTCATGCGGCCGTTGCGAGATGCCTCCATAAGAGCTGTCTTGCCACACCAATTGTCCTGCACGTCCCTGTTAGCACCAGCTTGCAGCAGCAGTCGTGCGATCTCCGTGTGACCATTGCTAACTGCCTTCATGAGAGCTGTCTTGCCAACTGATCCTGCAAGTCCTTTTCAGCACCAGCTTGCAGCAGCGACCGTGCAATCTCCGGGTGGTACTGGTACGTGCTAGCTGCCAACATGAGAGCTGTGCTGCCAGACTGATCCTGCACATCCTTTTCAGCACCAGCTTGCAGCAACAACTGCATGGTCTCCGTGTGACCCGTGCCAGCTGCCCCCATGAGAGCTGTCCTGCCCGACTGATCTGGCAAGTCTTTGTCAGCACCAGCTTGCAGCAGAAATTGCACAATCTTCCTGCGGCCACTGCTAGCTGCTAACATGAGAGCTGTGCAGCCATTCAGATCCTGCAAGTCCTTGTCAGCACCAGCCTGCAGCAGCCACTGGGCAGTGCTTAGATTCTTAGATCGCCGCGCCAACAAGCAACACGAAACAGTTCCGTAGTCTCCTCCAGCTCCGCATCTGTGGATGCCGTAGACAGGACAAGCTGCAGGTGGATTGAAGCATCTAAGGAGTCTGGTGGCGCTGAATCATCCAATCTGCTGCCATCCTGTAGCAATTCTAGCTTGGTCAAGTCATCCAAGCTAATGCCTTTGTGCAGCAGCTGTTGCAGGCAAACCGGGAAGCTGTGCCGATCGCGCAGCTCACGCTTCAAGTCGCGTATGTCAGAGATGTTCTGAATGTTGAGAGTAGGCAGCTCCTGCCCCGAAATCTTACAGATGCGGAGCATGCTGACGAAAGGCAGATCATCCATAGCTGATGCAGCATTCACTAAAAACACAATGATCAATACAGAAGGCAATACTGCCATGAAAGGTCTGGTTGCTCCAGTCACAACATTGGCGCAATTCTGATATATACACTTTTAAAGCAGGAACACAGATTGTCATGACGTTCTTATCAAGTACTATGACCAAAAACGTGAATCTATTCTATTCCCTATCTAAATACTAAGCTGCTACTGGTGCTGGGCATCGACTCGGATCCTTGTGGCTAGGAAGCGTATAGTTTGATGTAAGTCCCCTAAGCCATCAAACCCTAAATAGTAGCTCCCATTCTATTTCCCATTATCCCAATATAACCCCAAAATAACCCTAATATCTTTTTAATGGGTACCTATATCCCCTGTATACCCCACAACCCGAAACCATGCGGTGGCAGCAGGAGTGGGAGTACCAGCATTAGCATTCGAGGCGAGCTCTAGTCAACAGCTGGAAGAGCCCAAGGCCAACTGGGTTCTGATAATGGTTCTGTGAAAGAATACATACATCCAGAATTATTACAGAATTCTTGGGAGGAAACTCCAAAAGGATCAGGTTTTGAAGGAATTCTCAGCTAGGATTCCACTAAGAACACTCTCCTGCAAACCCTGCATTTCCAGCAGCTTGGGCTTTGGCGTTGCGATTCAACAATTAAGAGGAGGGTTTTGGTGACCAAAGCCCTCTATGATCAGGACCATGCAAGAGTCATATCATGACTCTTGGAGTTCTTACGCGGCCCAACCCCCGCAATATTACTCATGTCGGATTTAAACTCCTAAAAGTCTCAATCACAGTGCCTGCTGGCAAGGCTGGAGGCAACGCGTGTGTTGTGTGCGGCATGGGTGCAGGCTGGTCCTGAGTCGGGTATCTGAGGCCTACGCTGCGGCTTCGAAGACGGGGGTATCTGGGGACATAAGGATATATAGGGTTTAGGGTTTACCTCAAAACTCCTGCGAGTATTTGGTGTGTTCTGGTGGCAGGTTTGGGCTTTCGTGGCTAGGGTTTATTATTCCATTACGGGGGTCCAAGTGCTCAAGGGTGGCCAAGTCCAGAAGCATCCCACCCAATTGAGTTTGGAGCATCGGCAAGTTTAGGGCCACTAAGAGGAGCATACTGCGATGATGCAGGAATTCCAATGGTTGCTCTTGCAGGCAATTTCGCCTAATATGGTGAATTCAAATCCAAGGGTTCCCCGTGGATTATATTGACCATGTTGGGTTACTTATATGTGTATACGAGGAAATCTGTGAAGGCATATTCAATGGGGCTAGGATTGTTTGGAGTGCGGTGTTGGGACCTCGCATGGCTTTCCGTACGAACATTACAACTAAGGCTTGGGACTTATAGGGCTTCGGGTAAGATTTTTCAGGCGTGGGCAAACTGCGGTTTAGGGGTAGGGTTTAGGGTACTGGGGTGCTGCCAGGGACTAAGCGGATTGCAGCTCTGATTGTTCTTCGGAATTGCCTCTCACCCCCTTGACTGAAATTCTACTTAGCTTGTGCTTTTGGACTTCCCCTTCTGAATTCCTTCTACTCCCTCACGGCCAGGCGGAGATTTCAGAAAAGAGAGGTCCCATTTTTCCGTGAATCCCCTGAGACTCAGTGTTCTTCGGTCCTTGGTTATCCCAAATTCCATTTCATGTTCCATTTCTTGTGCATGTGACTGTCCATTAAGTACACTACAAAATCCCTACAACCCTTCAAATTGGCCTAGACCTTTCAGTTCATTTCCACTTCCTTTCCCTTGGGGTAATTACTATCCCTGAACCCTACATATCCCAATATACTGCTACAAGGTGGGAACCTGGGGACTTTTCTGCGAAGCAAGCGGCCGGCACAACATCGCAGGAGCCCTCACGGTGGGGCATCCGCATACTCCTGCCCATGCCTGGGATGAAGATGGGATTGAGAGCATCGTCTTGGTAGTAGTAGCGGTAGCAGTGGCAGCAGAGGTGCAACAGCAGCAGCAGCAGCAGCAGCAGCAGGAGGAGTAGTAGTAGTAGTCGTAGTAGAAGTAGAAGTAGAAGTAGAAGTAGAAGTAGAAGTAGTAGCAGCAGTACTGTAGCACAAGTAATAATGGGCCTGTAGACGATGCATCCCGTCTCCTAAACTTGGGGGCTTTGATGTGGACTCACGAGCTGCATGTATCACCATGAGAAGCCGTAAGCCGTTGACTAGCATGGTGTAGCCTGGTCTTATGCCGAAATATTGTCCTATTGCTGCCCCGAAATGCCAGGGTGCTCCCAAGAAGTTTGAGATGACAGCCAAAAACAACAGCCGAAAATGCGGGTAAACAGGGAGTGAACAAGCGAAGAAAGGAATAAGGCTAGTACTGGAGACCTAGCTCCATGCCCTCCTGAAAGCTCGTGAACCCTGAAGGCCGCCTGCCTCTCGCAAATGCTTCTCGAGGTAGTGTCCTTGCAGGCATATTGTCTCGATTTGGGCTCTCTGATTTTTTGGACCAAGCCCAATGACTACCACCACTCCCACTGCAGCCACGCGTGGTCCTGCCCCACTACTAACACCGCAACTGCGCCCAAACATGGCAAATCAAACTCTGACACAGCGCCCCCTCATGCAAATTAATAAGTTTGTAGCCCTACGCATGGTGCGTCCAGCTCCAACCTTGCATACCCGCTGCAAGTGGAAAAGCTTATGGTCACATGCAATTATGATACCCAACCTTGTGCAAGCCCTGTTTGAGATGTCGTCCCAAATCCTTCTCAGTAGCCCCCGATGGCCACATGAGCTATAGTATAAACTCCTAGTCTGAGTGAGCCCTATAATACTCCCCTAAATAACCTCCTTAAAAAAAACAGACTCTAACTCTAGCTCACATGGTCTGAGCCATCTCGTTTCTCAGGGCACCCTGTTTCCCTCCCCCAGTTCTCAGATAGAGAACCCCTTTGAAAAGGCTAGCCTGGGGCCCTTGTCCAGGAAACCCCATCGCCGAAGTATTCCAAAGCCCTACCGCACCACACATCGATCCCACTGTGAACGCTACATGCCACACATTGATACACTGTGAACGCTACATGCTGATGCCTTGACCTTTGAACGCGCTCAACTCAAGCACACCCAGAAACTGCAGCGCATTGCACCCCTAACCGACCCCACGCTTCTCTGTACCCTGCATCCGGTCTAATGCGCCTGTGAGCCCTAACTCGGGATCTTCGCTATTTTGATTTCTTCGACGGGGGCGTCTATATACGTGGCCTAGCTGTTCAGCAAGTGTCATCACCGAATCACCAGCCGACCAACTTTTGTAACTTTTGTACATTTGTTGAGCTCCGTTTTGCGTAGCAAGCAACAAAAAGGAAAAGACAACATTACCTTTCAACGGCATGCATAAGGGTCCAGGAACCCTGAACCTAACCCCCCCCAGCCCTGGAGACCTGCCAACGACATCAAAACGCCTTGAGGCATGGGTCCTGCAGACTTGGATCGGGGTTTCCATGTCTCTATAGAAAGCAGACGACCAGCGGATAATCTCCATGCAATACAAGTTCCTACGCGAGCCGTCCCGTCCCGAACCTGACCTTTGACCCCAGTGATTCCTCGGCAGCGGCGAACCCATCCCGGTATGCTGGCTGGCAGGAATCCCGGGCACCTAAGCGACGGCTGAAGAATGGGTATGAGGTTGCCCTAAACCCTAAACCCTAAACCCTATACTATAGAAGGGCCCTGGCACCTTGGTGACCATTACGCTTGGGGCTCGCGAGCTTGTCTTCAAGGCAGGATTCACAGATATTACTTCCTGGAAGCAATCAGTCTTGGGTGTGTCCGAAGATTCCGAATCAAGAGATGCGGCCTTGCGAGCGGATAGAAAGTTTGTCATAGCTACCTCGGCTTACTTCCCATGACACACCTGTGTGAAACCTTGGGCCCTGTAGCGATGTAGGACCATGATTGAAGGAGAGCACCATTTCTTCTTGGTCCGTATATGAACTAAACATACCTCAAGATCCTGCTCTTGTTCTCTTGGCCCCGACCATGGAGCTGGGGCAAGGGGTTGCAATCACAAACTATCTCGATCGACTTGAGCTGGCGTCGGTGCTACAACTGAGAAACTAATGTAGGGCCTATACAAGCACAAAGTTTGGCCGCACTTTATCTTGTGGTTTGTGTGAATGTTAAACGGAAATGATACATACAACTGTACATCGGTTCGTGTCTTCATGCCAGTGGGCATTCAACATGTCGGGAATTGTGCAAAAGACAAGTCTCCACAATTGAGGTTTCACAAGGTCCCGCATGTCCCGCTCAACAAGACACCCGATGGGTATGCCTTTCCAACATTCTATACACACCTATACCATGCAGCTTTGGCCATTTCATGTTCCAGGCCCTCTTCCATGTGGCTTCGATTATTCCATTCTTAGGCCCCTGAATTACCTGGATATTGACATAACCCGTCATAATCAACACTGCAAGCCCCTCCTGAACATGAGACGAGCAGCTTGGGCAGGTGGAGGTCTGTTGGCGGGCCAAGTGCCACCTCCCGGGCGTGTTTAGAGTTTAGGGCTCAGTGCTTAGGGTTTAGGGTTGGGCTAAGGAGAACTGGGGTTACTACATTGCTTATGGGTGTTGTAAGTGTGCTTGCCAAGTCTTCCTGATCCGCGGGTCGTCGAGTTGTAATCCACACTCCTAGAGAAAAACCCTCATCCCCTAACTATGTATGTGTCCCTAGGCTGATGGTATTCCCCCATATACATATATATATATATATTTATCTATTTATACAGAGGTACTATATTCGGGTTGAGTATCAGGGGGGCCGGGGATTTATTAGGGGGAGATGCTTAGGTTGTAGAGTTCAAGGTTTTGGCTTGAGAGGTTTCAGGCCTAGCGGGCTGGCCGGGAGAACGTGCGCACTCCCTTTTGCCAGCAATGCCAAGCCTGTGACCAGTGTTCAACGATGCCTTTTAACCATGATGACCTTGGGCACTTGGAGCCCCAAGCTCTGGCTAAACAGATGGTCACCAGTTTAACTA